TAATGAGCATAGTAGAAATACAATTTATGTTACATTTTAAATATATACTTTATCAAAGAAGAAAGTAAGAAAACAATTTCCATCTAACACCATGCTTTTTCATATTTAAATTGAACTTTTTCATATTTAAATTTTGGTGAACTTCAAAAATGTGGAGAGAGAGGTGAATTACTCACAAAATGTACCATTTGAGACAGCTTAATGACAAAATAAACTAATGCATGGCTTAAACATCAACACAGCAAAAATGGTATTACCACAAATTTGTACATAAATTCCATAAAAATTAGGACTCTAGTAAGATTCATTATTAATTTAACATTGAACATGGATGGAAATGACTGACCTAGCTCAATAATCTAACAGTTTCTATGTGCCTGTTCTCCAAAAGAATTCTCTAAACCAACACTGTCCAACAGAACTTTCTGCAATGATGGAAATGTACTGACTTGTACAATAAGATAACCAGTAACCACATATGGCTAGTGAGCATTAGGAATGTCGCGAATGCAACAGAAAAACAGAATCTCAAATTTTATTTAAAGAGGCTAGTGGCTACTTATCCAGATATCACAGCTCTAAGTCCTGCCTCTATGTCATTTTTATAGTCTTCCATTTACCTGGTTTCCCAATGTAGACAATTCAGGCTTTAGTTCTCACTCTAGCTCTACATTTCTGTCCTTCTGGCCTCAAATTTTCTTCCTGAGCTGGTGCATAGCTAGCTGATTTCAGCAAAGCTGCTGGCCACTGCTGCTCAGCTCACAAACACTGGCTGGCAGAGCACTGGTCTCTTTCCACTTGCCCATGATGAGAAGTGGGATACAAATGCTTTTTTAAAAAAGTGAACAGACAACCAAAAGTCCTGTAAGACTTATTAGACATTAGACTTACCCAAAGGGAAGAGATTAAATCCAATGATTAAATAAAAGCCACTTCTAAACCTAAAATTCTGTTATTCCAAACCCCAAATTCCAGGTAGACAGGCAAATGACAATTTCCAAAATTATATGGTACTTACCGAATAAGCCCAGTACCCTAAACCTCACAGAAATCAACTCCCAACTCAAAGCATCCCACAGGCATTATTAAGAATAACAGACACAGCCAATCCTCTGAGTCATTGAGCAAAAGGGTAGCTTTCTCTTAAGAAGGAAATTTTAATACTAAAAGTATTATTTTCACAATTTGTTGTCATTCATAGAAACTTAGGTCACACATATTTTTATACAAAATACTGGAGTAGGTCTTGCCCTCCATATTACATTCTCAAATCTGTTCTGACTTCAATTTCAAATGGATATCCATTTCCTGTTACTTGCCAGACTTAATACTTACAACAGATATCATATTAATAGATATAACAGATATTATATTAATAGATATACTAGTTTTAAATGTAGTATTTAACTGATAAAGGAAGATGAAGTAAAATACAGTAAGAAAACAAAACTTCACAGAAGGATAACAAGGTAGATTCAATGGGTATCGGACAAAAGTGAGTGCAGCTCAACAAAGACTTACTGGTTTAGCACGACATCAAGAATAAATGATGTTCCAAAGGCATCGACCTGGAAGCTTGCCTGGTTAACATGAGTCAACTGCAATATTAAAAAGATAAAAGGTATTTATTATTCAGCATAGTGATCAGATGATAAGCATTTCTTAGATCACTTTTAAAAAAGTGCATGGTATCCTAATTTAGAAAACAACAATTCAACATGGACATCAAATAAAAACAAAGTAAAATGTGCACCTTCTTAGAAGCCAAGCATTCACCAGTCTGAAGTAAAGTACCACCTAACCAAGGAGGGTCAGGGCCCTACCTTTCCACTTTATCTCAAGTAGCTACACATTTCATTTCCAAGAAGACTGAACTTTCTTCAGTTTTTTCTATATTAAATGACTGGCTCCTTTAAAATTAAGCCTTGTACATTAAAAAATAGAGGAAAATATGTTCAAGAGTAAGATAATATGGTGAATATGATCTAAAAATACTTTTCATCCTGTCACAAATACGAACTTTAAAAATATTTCAGTTCTAATTATCCAGAGGGGGGAAAAAAAAACACATTATCCAGAGAAATAAATAAATAAATAATTAAAATTCTTTCCATTTTAATTAAGCAAACATAATTTCATAGAGGTTTCTCTCTCTTCCTAAGAGCAAAACTGAACCTCTGCACATCTACTGCAAATATCGCCCATCAAAATTTTCTTGGAAAAATGAAATCACTATTTCCAACACCATTCTTGGAACTCCCAGAGAAAATCATAAGGGATTCTAAACTAAACAATATAGAGGGTTACCAAGAACATAATTTCAACATGTTGAATAACCATGTGCATTAACTGAAAAGAGGGAGGAAGCAAAACTGCTCCTTCTGTTTGACTCCCCAAATACTAAGAATACCTATATCTTAGTAGGACTACGAATTTCTGAAATTTTTATTTGTATGTTTCTATAGTATCCAAAATTCCTAAAATAAACATGTATAATTCCTGCAGTGAGAAAAAGCAAACACTATTTTAGAGATAAAAACCATCTGAGCAACTGCACTCATGTAGCACATGAAACAGATGGTGAACCAGTGCATCATAGGAAGGGGCATCCCAGGATTCTGTGAGGCATGAAGGGCACCTGAACCACCCCTGGGATTTTCACACACAGTGATCTTATGGCATTAGGCGAAAGGAGAGCACTTAATGATAATAAAGCTTTACGAAAAGAAATGGTAACTCTTCTGTTTCAAATTATTTAAAAGTAATAGGGGGTGGAACAATGCAATAGCTCAATTTCAAACATATTCCAATCCTCATGAAAGCCCAAGGATGAAGAACTATCTGGTTACCTTTCAGCCTCATTAACTTCATTAACCCTTCATTCTTCCCAATAACACTGAGCTATCATCAAACTCTCACCTCTTTTTTATTTTTATGGCCATTCTTGGAGCCACACCTTATTCTCTATTTCCACATCTGCCTCCACAGATCATATCTTCCTCGCTCTTTTTAAAATTAACTCCTTACCAAAATCCCAAATGTAAGCCCCAGATTTTCAAATCCCAAATGTAAGCCCCAGAAGATTCAATTACAAACCTTCTCTCCCTGAATATCAAGATCTTCCACAGTCACCTCCCCCACCCCAGATATAATGGCACCCAAGTTCCCAAGAATCCACCCACACTGCCTCCACACTGGTCTCCTTTCTGCTCTTTAATTCCACAAGCGAGGTATGTTCCAACTTTTTATGTGACTTTCACTCATCACTTCCGCTGAGTGCTTTTCTGAACCAGGCCCTGATCTCTCCCAATATCATTTCCCCAAATGGCCCTATCCATCCTTCTAGACTTTGATCAAGTTCCTCCTTGTATTAGTCTGCCAAGGGCTACCATAGCAGAGGACCACAGACTAGGAGGCTTACACAACAGAAATTTTCTTTCTCCGAGTCCTGGAGGCTGTGATAACCTGGTTATTATTTAACAGGAAGGGAGGAAAGGGAAGACTAGGTATAGGCAGGCCATTTGTGCAGCTTTGTCAAAAAGCTGCATTTAACACTCTCCAAATCTGTTCCCCACTAATCGATGGGGGTAGGGACTGGACAAAGGCAGTTTAGACGAATGCCCAGTAAGGTCTGAGTGACGTGAGAAGATGCCTACCTGTCTGCTCATCAATCACACCTGAAAGCCAGTCAGTAGCCAAGATGGGTGTGATCACTGCAAGAGTGCAAAGCCTGAATATTTAAACTTCCAAACAACGAAGTTCTCTCTCTCTCTTGTGCACTGGGTTCCTGACTCCCCTGTGGCAGGAGGGTGTGCTCCCCTGTGACCACATGGCACAGGGCCGTGTCGGACTCCACACATGGACTAGTAGACTTAGCTTGGATGCTGAGCCACACCGGCTGCAACATGGAACGGAAGCTCTGGACACTGGCCTTGTTTCTGGCTCTGCTGGAACCCCAGCTGCACCTTTTCCAAGACTGGCTTAAGGGGCAGGAGACTTTAAGGGAAACTGAGAAATGTAACTCTAGGCAAATACAGCCTGTTTCCACACATTTTCTAAGATGTCACAAGAACCTCACTCCCACGAGTGACCGGGAAGTTTAATTCTCTGGTAACAGCCAGAAGTCCAAGATTAAAGTGTTGTCCTGAGGCCCCTCTCCTTGGCTTGCAGACAGCCACCTTCCAACTGTGTCCTCACATGACCTTTACTCTATGTGTGTGCACCCCTGGCATAACTATCTATCGTTTTCTCTTCTCTCTCTCTCTGTCTCTCTCAGTGTGTGTGTGTGTGTGTGCGCGCGCTTCTCAACCTGTGGGTCGCCACCCTCTGGGTCGCGACCCCTTTGGGGGTCAAACGACCCTTTCACAGGGGTCGCCTAAGACCATCGGAAAACACATATAATTACATATTGTTTTTGTGATTAATCACTATGCTTTAATTATATTCAATTTGTAACAATGAAAATACATCCGGCATATCAGATATTTACATTATGATTCATAACAGTAGCAAAATTACAGTTATGAAGTAGCAACGAAAACAATTTTATGGTTGGGGGTCACCACAACATGAGGAACGGCATTAGGAAGGTTGAGAACCACTGTAAGGGCACCAGTCACATTGGATTAAGGCCCACACTTGTGACCTGAAGAAAAGGCTGCATGCCAAGGAATGCTGTAAGCCTCTATAAACTGGAAACAGCAAGGAACGATTCTCTCCTAGAGCCTCTGCAAGGAGCACAGCCCTGCCAAGACTTTCATCTTAGCCTTTAAGATCCACTTTGGGCTTTTGATCTCCAGAACTTTCAGACAATTCTTTTTTGTTGGTTTATTGACAGCATGTTTAACTGCTACTTGCCCTAATTACCTCTTTAAAAGCTCTATCTCCATATACAGTCACCTTAGAGGTTAGGGCTTTGACATATACATTTTGGAAGGGACACCGTTCAGCCCAAACACTCCTCTTCCACAAGGTCGTCCCAGTGTCTTCCCACCTCTGTCTTCCCTCCTCCTCAATACGGTTCAGTTTGATATCAGGGCCTCAGGACTGACCAGCATCAGGTATTCAATAAGTATTTCCTGACTAATTGATTTGAGTGTTTGCTTTATCAATCACCTGGATGCATAAATGAACAACAATTGAACAGCTATAAATTACTTGCATATAAAATGCAGTCCTTCCATCAAGGTTGTTCCTAATGCCATGTCAAAGGACAATGCCTTCCCTTTTGTATGAAAGCTCTTTAAGTTTCCTGAAGTGCTAACTACCATGTTTTGGGAATAGACTGAGGAAAGCTCTTATGTATTTTGCTTACCAGAATTGATGTCTCAACTAAAATGAACCTCTCGCTCTCTCCTCCATTTTTTCTCTGAATTTATTATGGTGAACAGGGCAGAGGCCACATGTTATTCATCATGGTATCATGACTACAGCTTGGATCAGGATAACATTACCATCCTTTTTCAGCAAGAAATTTACTGTTTGCATTAATTCTGTCTAATTCTTATGTTTTTCTTATGTTACATCTGGTATTTTATTTTATTGATCTCACCCATGCATATCCTAAGGAGAAATCCATTACTAAACTCAAAAGAAAATCTATTGACAGCAAGTTTAACTGCTGTTTAGTAAAAAAAAAAAATTTTGCATTATTGATAGGAACAAGGAATAGGAGTGTATTAATATAGTTTTCATGTAAAAAAGGCCTCCTTAGACTGTATTCAGATTGATTCAGTCAACAAACATATTCTGAGAGTCTCTCATATTTACTACTTTAGGTTATCTGAAATAATAAATTAAATAGAGTTACCCCGAATTCATGCAGTACTAACAATCTAGCTTATTATTCAACACTACTGAAGTGAGCCAGGACGGCCATCAGAAAGTTAATCTTAGACCGTGCCTTTTAAATGTAAAGGAAAAGAAAATGAAGGTTTGAGAAGATAGAACTAATATAATATCAGGATTTTCCTTTGGGGAGAGGTACCTAACATATATAGCCAAAGAAAAATTCTAATACTTATTAACTTTAACTTGAAGATTAAAAGCTAAATGTCTCTCAGAAATATTTGAAAAATATAAATTGAAATGCAGTCTTTCAAATTACTACATAGGCATGATTTGTTATTTTAAAACTATTCATCAAACACTTTCGTATCATATCATCATAGTGAGAGAACCTCTAGAAGGCATATGATACAACATCCTTATTTTACAAATAAGGAAACCGAGGGAAGGAAGTGTGGGCCAATGTCCTTCCAAGGTCACACTCCTTGGAAGCAGAGCAGGCGTTTCGCCTGCTGGCAGGCCGTTTCTCATGCTTCATCCTTGCTTCTATTCTGCAGCTCAGAGGAGCTTGCAGGTTTCTTAGAGTCATGAAAATGCATTTTAAAGCGCATAAAAAATTAAACAATGAAAAACAATCTTTAGAACTCTGTTTTAATGAAAAAAAATCAATAATGTCACCACATCCGACACATGTTCTAAGGCCAATTTGATTACCACCTTAGAAATGACAAATAATGGTTTAAAATATAAATGCAAATCTATTTTTAAAGGAAAAAACTGCATGTTTATGGTAAAATGTGTGTGCATTTGT